CAGTAGATGTCCGACGCATCATGAACCATTTGCTCTCGCATCGATGCTTCATCTGAAACTAAGGGCGACGTCCAGAAATTGTTAACCGTTGTCGATGCCACGCCTCTCGCGCATACTAGAATGCCAAAGTTAGCATTGCCTGCAATATTCGCTTCTCAGCGGCACGCGGTACTGTGCTCCATATATTGTGAATGAGCAGTGTCTGTTGCATCGTTCGCTCGGTGTCTGTGCTATATGAGGTCCAAGCGCACTTTCTTCAAGTGTCAGTGACTACAACGGCCTAACGAGGATCCCGCGTCACCTTGCGAAGTCCTACTGATCACAAGATACATGGCACATGTAATAACAATGCTACAAGAGATTGCGGCGAGTGCCGCCGAGACCGACTGGGCAAAGATTTGAAATTGCGCACGTGCTTCACTGAATTACAAGATCCAATGGAACACTCAACCTTATGAAGCCAAAGCTACTGGAACATCGCAAGTCGAGTTCCGCGGCAGTGCCGTGGGTGCTGGCCTGTGCGCGAGTAATGTATGACTGCCTTCTGTGTTAAAGCTTGACTCGTGGATTTGTACTGCTGCCGCTCGTCGGGTAGAACTGTCCTCACAAGTTGGCTGTGCTGGCTGAGGTGGCTGGAGACTGGATTGCTGGGCTTACTGGGCTGGACGGTCTGGGTTGGCTGGCTGTCTGGGCCCCTGCTGGGCAATGGCTGAGCTGGCTTGCTTGGCTGGACTGGATGGCCTGGCTGGGCTGCGCTTGTTTGGCTAGGCTGGCTGAGCGCAGGGTTCGCTGGGCTGCTAGCCTGGCTGGCTGGGGCTTGCTGAGCTGGCCGGGCAAGCATGCCTGGCTGAGCTTGCCTGGCTGGCTGGGCTGGACGAAGGCTGCCTGCAACGACTTGGTTCCTGTGAATCAGAATCGTATTTACTAGGGACTGGGGCTCTAGCACGAAGGCCGCCAGGAACGAGAGGGTTACGTCCTAGGACTCGCAATCATGCGCGGGAGTGGACTGCTGGTAACGCTATGCTTGCCAGCCACATGACGGTTGCAACCTGTCACTTAGACGCAGGCCCAGAATGGAATTCTGACAAAATGACGCTTGCAGACAGGGTACGATTGCACCCTGAGGCTGCGAATCGCACCCATGGGTGAACTTGTGGCAATACGGTGCTCGCAAATCACGTGAAGGTTGCGTCCTCTCACTCAGAATCGCACATTGGAACAAGATGGTACTCGCTGGCCAAGCGACGGTTTGCAATCCATGACCTGGAATCGCAAACGGGAGATAACTTCTGATCACGCCAGGCACACCACAGGAGGCACACGGAATGCTTTGCCAGCACGGGGTGCCAAATAAGGAAATCTAAGCCGAACAGATCCGCCGACCTCCGCGTGCCAGGAGTGAGAAGGTATGTGAGATGTTTGGACGTCCCCCGCCACTCTCCCCCGGGGTCCCCGCGCCTGTGGGCGATGTCTGTGCTATTGGCCATGCCAGTTAAGTATATGCGTTTTCTGCCCCAGCGATGTTTTCTAGTGCCATTCTTTGGTCGATCCTGAGTGGCTGGATGCCGCCAACGTGCAACCATAGTTCCTGCGGTGGTGAGTTGGGCAAGCTAGTTTGGGTGGTGGAGGTCAAGCTACCTGGTCTGCTCCCTGCTTATGCAACTACAGTCTCAAGGTGTTATCAAAGGCCCGGTGCCAATGCAGGTATTGTATTACGTTTCCTGGTCGCTCTCTCGAGCCGCAACTCCTAAGCACGTCTGCAGGTCGGATCTCCCCAGGAGAATGCACCTGCTTGTTGGAGTGCTGGCAAAGGTTCATGTTCCCCTCTTCGCCTGCGCCGCAGGCTCGAAGAGATGAGCAGGCCGCCAGGCCGCTTAATTTGTATGTGCTGTTTCCTTGTGCGCGGTCCTCCTCGTCGCCACTGTGCCTGCGTGCTCCTCACCGCGGGTTCCACCGATCGCCAAGCCGTGGCGGAACTTGGCATCGATGCGTCAGGGTCGGTGTGTGTGCCCAACCTTGCCACCGTTGACGACGGGGAGGGGAGGCACAGAGGGGGCGGGGTTGAAGGGATGCTGGAGAGATGCCGTGCAGAAGCGCGGCGGTGCGTGCCGCTGCAGGACTCTGATCTCCCAGATAGGAGACGGCACCTGCTTGCTGCACGAACTCCTCGAGTGCCTCCAGCTCGGCTGCTGCTTCGCTGTCCACTCCGCGCGCCTGGCCTCGGATCCTCGCCCGCCCGGTGCCCCCCCGCCACGTTTTTTTTTTTTTTTTTTTTTTCCCTGCGGCCCTCGCGCTCGCGCGTCCTCCTCGGGCCCTCGTTCCGGTCCCCGCTCCTCTGCGCTGAGCGCCGAGGAGTCAGCACTTGACCCCAGCCCGCGTCCACGTAGGATTCCACGTGAGGGGAGGGGGGGGGGGCGCGAGCTCCTCGAGGCACTTTCGGAGCCTATCTGCTCCCGATGGCCTGAAAAGGCCCAAGCTGGCCTCCGGCATCCTCCAGCATGCTTCCGGGAGGCCCCATGACGGCTCCCAAGCGGCTGCAAGTATGCCCGAGAGGCCAACATCCTTGAATTCCTTCCGATGGGCTTCTGAGGCCTCAAGGTGGCCCCAAGATCGCCCAAGAGAGCCCTAAGAAGGGCCCAAAGGCCACCAAGGGCGCCCCGAGAGCGCCCTGAAAAGGCCCAAAGGAACGAATCCTCGAGCTCCAGAGGGGCAGCGCTACTTAAGAACAGCCCCAATTATGATCGATGTCCTCCAAGAGGACCCAAAGAGAGCCCCAAGTACCTCAACATTGTCCTTAGAAGCCTCCAAGAAGATCCTGGGTAAGAAGCTCAGTCATAACAAATCCACTGCCCCCCTGGGACCCCGCCGAATGCAGTCCCTGCAGCTCCTACCTTAGCATGTCGATTTCTATTGACGTCTCGTCTTCAGAGTGTCGGCGGAATGGCGTAATCATCTTGAGTATACCCTCCTACGCAGGGAAGAAGCATACGACGGCCAGGAGAAAATGATGGTATGAGACCCGGAGAGAAACATTCCCGACCACAGACGGGGGGCCATGTTCCTGGAGTGAGTTTGACCATGTGCATCCGAGTGAGAATCAGCCCTCCGAGCCTAACCGATGTCCAATCCCAAGCGCGGCGACATACCTGCAGCGTGCCACGTGCCAGCAACGATGTGGCCACAATTGGACAATATGTAAGAAGCCCGACAACACCGCCCGGCATCCGACACATACGACGTGCACGCGCACTGCGAGATTGCTACCATGAAGCGTCACTTCCCTAAGACACACGCGAAGGCACCGCTCTGTGCACAGCGATCCAGCAAAGGTAAATAACGCCCAGGTGGCAGCGCAGACAGCGTCTGCCGCCTCATCTTCGGAAGGGGAAGGGGCCAATGGCCAGCCAGGCGCAGCTGAGTGCCGCACCAATCCCTGCACCTGAGGCGGGCGACGCCGCGCTCCCCCCAGCCGACTCGGACAGAGAAGAAACGCGCTGACAGGGGGGGCACACGCGCGCGTCTTCCCCCTCGCCTCACGCTGCTCCACCCCACTCCTTCCCAGCTCCTCGTCTCCACTCCGACCATCCCGTTCCTCGCCTTCCCCTCCTCCCTCGCTCTGCTTCCTCCCCTCCCCTCCGTCTCCTCCCCTCCCCACCTCCATCCTCCACCTCCACCTCCATTCCACTACCTTATAAGTAACTCCTCCCTGTCGCACCCCGAGGCCGGTCGAAAGGGCGGGCTGGGCGTCTCGCCTGACACCTCCTCACAACCTATGACCCTGAAGCTTCAACAGTGGCAATAGCTTCACAGATGGAGGGCAGGTGGCTTTCAAACTGTGGCTCTCGCCTTAGCGCAGCGCGCATTCCTTTTAATACATTGCAAGGGTTTCACGGGTTGAGGGCGGGAAGTTTTCAACATGTGGCTCTCGCCTGAGCGCCGCACACGCTCTTCTTAAAAAGTTGCAAGGGTTTCGCGAATTGTAGACGGTTGGTTTTCAACATGTGCCTCTCGCCTGAGCGCAGCGCACTTTCGTTGTAAACATTTGCAAGAGCTTCGCGGATTGAGGGCGGCTGGTTTTCAAAATGTGGCCCTCGCCTCATCTCGCCACAGCGCCGCCTACATTCGTATGAACAAACATTGCAAGGGCTTCACGGATTCCCATGGCCAACGTACCAGAAAAGGTGCTTCGAAAGGATTCTGGACTGTGAGTGTGCAACACTCATATTGATTTGCGGTGTTAGAATCCCAAGAATGGTGCTCTGGCACGATTCAAGATCGTCAAGACGGAACAGTTAGGTTGATCCGTGACGTTGGAGTCCCGAGAGTGGTGTTTTGGCGCGCTTCAGGGTCTTTAAACAATTGTCTCCGAACGAGGCAGTTACCTCGGTGGAAATGAACCCTTGCATGGGGCCTGTGAAGAGGGAGCTTGGAGGGATGGCTTACTCCAACATCGTTGATGAGTCTTGGGTTTGCACTGGTCCTCCGCCACATCCTCCTCCTCCTCCTCCTCCTCCTCCTCATCCATCCTCCACTTCCTCCTTCACCTCCATCAATGCTGCCCTCCCCCTCCCCTCCATCTCCTCCGCCGCTCCGTCCGACTTTCCTCCTCAAATCTCCCCCACGCTCCCGCCAACACGCCCACCCACCTGAGGGGGGCCCACCACGAAGAGAGCCTGGGGACAAGGGGAGGAGGGGAACGAGAGACGGCTGCGGCACATGTACCACTTCGTGCAAGCTCTGGGTGGGTTTGAGCAAAGGCAGTCACGCGTGCTGGTCTGTCACATCCACCGCCAGCACGCCAAAGCATGTCGTTTCTATGTGCACGTTTTTTGAACCTCCACCGCAGGCGCGCCCAAGCACGTCATGTTGATGCGCGTCTGTTTTGAGATGCGCACCTGCAGCACGCCAAAGCATGCCATTCCTCCGCGCAAGTGCTTGCAACCGTCCCCTGGATTCGGATGCAGCGGTCGGCACTTTCCCACAAAGGGAGCCATCCCGTG